AAAAATTTGCATTTTCTCTTTTAGTTACGTGGTTTTGTAATATATCTATGATAAAATTAAATATTAATAGTGTGAAATAAATGTAATAAATACTAAAAACATTCTTTTTTCGATAATACTATCATTCTTGAGGGGATCCCAAAACAGATTTTTCCAATCAAATTTTTTCCTCTAAAATTAATATTGAAACTCATTAAAAATAACAGAAAAGCAAAGATTATAGTAAGAAGATGACTTCAATTCGGTGAGTCAACTGTCAGATTGAGTAAAAGGTTGAGCAATGCTTTCAGTTGCTATATTTTTGCTTATAGTTGCTATATTCAGTTGCTATATTTTTCATATTTTTGATTGGTTTACATCAATGAAATACGAAAAAGTACGCAAAATATTGGACAAAGTAACGCATCTTTCGTGTTTTTTTCTCGACATCAAAATGCAATAAAACACCACTACAATATCTGGAAAATCCGTTCAAAGTAATACATAACATTCGTACTTGAAACCGTAATGCAGCCTTTAATTCGGTTATAAATTGACCCATGACGAATCATAGTACCGTGTAACGAAATTAGAATGATAATGTGGTTCATTTCACCTAATTAATGTTGATGCTAATTTTAGCCATGTTATAGTTTAACACGCTGGGAAAAATTCCGGCTCAAATCTTTAGGAGCATCATCAAATTTTCATTTTTTTTTGCGTGTAAAATCCATTTTTACCATAAAATAATATGCCGTAAATTCTACAGTAATATTTATTTAATTAGAGTGATTCAGGTATTTTGCGGTAATAATTACTGTAAAAATAACGGTATATCGGATTTTTTGTTCCATAACATTGTCCAGTAAATATGCGTACCAATTTCCTGAGAGCCATGACTTTTCATCGCGATTTGAACCGGAATTTTTTACAATGCATGTAAAAACCATTTTTAACCATAAAATAATATGACGGGAATTTTACAGTATTGATTTAATTAGAGTGATTCAGGTATTTTGCGGTAATAATTACTGTAAAAATAATGGTATATCGGATTTTTTGTTCCGTAACATTGTTCAGTAAATATGCGTACCAATTTCCTCAGTGCCAGGACTTTTCATCGTTATTTGATCCGGAACAATGCGCATTCTAAAATTTCCAATAGCGTAAATTTCTAGGAATTTTAGTGAAATTAACAAACTAAAATCATTTAGTGCAAACTATTTGATCATCAAAAACAATTTATTGATGGAAAAAAAATCAATAATATAAACATTTGAAATATTCTCTCAGAAATTTAAGAAATGCCTATTGTTGCAGAGTGACTCACAATCTTCACACGAAAATGAAGAAGTGTTAGATTACACTTAGATCACGAAGTATAAAAGAAAAGTTGCAAAACACCCTTTCTTTTATGCTCAATTTGAGTAGTAATGAGTTCAGTCGTATCAGTCGATGTTAATGTGAGAAACGTTGAAAAACTGTTACACAATTTCTTTAGTAATAAAAAGAGCGTTTAGGCTCATTTTTTAAAAAAATTTGAAACACAATTTGTATTTATTAGTATTATCATCATATAAATTACACTACTTGTATTATCAACATTTCCACGACAATGACAACTTTCACATAGGTAATGGATAAGTGTACAAAAATGTTTGTTAAATATTATTTCGCACTAACACTAGCGAATATAATCATTCAGTAGGGTGGATGTTGAACGATTTTATTATTATAATTTTTCACTTACAACTCTGAACTTAGCCCTTTATGAATAAAAAAATTCATTTCAATATTTTATAATTATTGGGGTACATACTTTATTTTATTTTATAAACCGTCGTTGAACAGCAGACCCAATTTTCGGTTTATGATTAAAAGTGTTCAGCTATGTAAGCTGGTAATTTTGAATCCAACACAGAGGACAAGGGAACTTCTGGATCAAGTAGTGGGAGAAATTTGCCTTCGTGGAGAACTTTCCGATAGAACTAACCCGCATTTGCGTTACATGGAGAGGAAAATCACAAAAACCTCCGATGCTTAATCTGACGACAAAGGGACTCTGACCCATGATCCGTTTACCACTGAGGATATTTTACGTCAGCACTATGGTCGGTGCTAGCCGGATGCGGAATTCGAATCGACCAGCCATTGCTGGAATTCGAACTATTGGGATATATCAGGGGTCTGTTTAGAAGAAATTTGGGTCCATTAACACACAAAATATCTTTTAATGCAAACGGACCCTTCACAAAATGATTTTTCTTTTAATCGGACCCTTTACGAATTTGTTTATTTTCGTTATTGTTTTGTTAATTGAATAAACCCTTCCCAGGGCAGAAAACAAGAAAGATGGATGTAAACGAATTAAGTCTTGTCTTCGCAGACGATTCTTCCATTATTCGTCCGAAATGAATATTCTGCGTTCAGCAGTATAGCTAAATACCAAATATTTTTATGTTGCATCTCTAATTTAGAAGCAGCAATTGCTGTTTATTTTTGAAAATTTAATTTTTTTAATTATAATTTTACAGTGCTGAGCATAATCTTGTATCTCTTTACAATTTAAAAACTGCTTGAAAAAGTTTTTTGCAATAACCCGACCCTATTTGCACAAATTCATAAAACCAGGATCCTGGTTGAAAAAATTTGAGTAATTTTTTTTCACAATTTCACAAAATCCGGACCTTTCACAAAATGTCTGGACAGACCTCTGTATATAGAAGTTATTACAGGTAATTAGACTATGTCAGTATCATTAAATAACATTTTTCTGAGGATAGAAGTCTCAAATTTGAACCATGTGCTCGTTATCAGGTAAAAAGAGTGTCTTAAAAAAAGTTTTACTTCGATATTTTGTAATTCTCTGGGTAATAAGGAGTAATTAGCCTAAAATTGGCAGTAATGCTAAATAAAAAGTTTTGACCAAGAAGGAAGTCTCAAATTTGAAACATGCATTTTTTAAAAGATTATAAGGAACTTTAAAGTTAAATTTTGATAATTTGTAACTACCAATATAATTATAGGTAATATCTAAAAATTGACAGTGATAACACGTTTTTACCAAAATGGAAAACTCAAATTTAGAACCTGTGTTTTTTTATGAGATAAATTGAAATATTAAGAAGGACTCATTTCGATATTTGAAATTATCTCGGTTTATCAGGGTGATTAGGGGGCAATTGGCCGAATTGGCAGTAGGGCTAAATAACGTTTTTACTAAGATAGAAGTTTTAAATTTAGACCATGCTTTCATTATCATATAAAATGAAAAACTAAAAAAGTTTCATTCCGATATTTCTTAATTATCAATGAAATTGAGCGTAATTAGCCTAAAATTGACAATAATGCTGAAAAAACATTCTTAACAAGAGGGAAGACTCAGTTTTAGATCAGATAAATAGAAAAACTTAAAAAATGTTCATTTCAATATTTAAAATTATCGGAATTTATCGGGAGTACTGGGGCGTAATTAACAGTTACGCTTAATAACGTTTTTGCCAAGATAGAAATCTCACATTTAAATTATGCATTCTTTATCAGATACAAAGAAAAACAATAAAATTTTTTTACAATATTTCTAAATTATTGAGGTGAATAGGAGGCAATTAGCAATTGACAGCAATGCTAAATAACAAGCCTTTACCGAGAAAGAAGTCCCAAATTTAAACAATTGAAATCTAAAAAACTAAACTAATAAAACTAAAAAGAGCTTTATTTCGATATTTTGTAACTGTTGTAACTGTAAACTAACAGTGGTGCCCAATCAACAGTTATGCTAAATTGCTAATTAACATGTTTCTACGAATTACATCCATCTGTTTGTAAAACACAGCCAATTCCCACTTATGTGCCTTTAAATCATGAAGAAGTGAATTCGTGCAGGTGGTCGACTATCCGGGGTCTGTTTAGAAGAAATTTGGGTCCGTTAACGGACTCCTTACAAAATATCTTATCATAAAAACGGACCCTTCACAAAATAATTTATCTTTTAATCGGTCCCTTCGCAAAATAATTTATCTTTTAATCGGACCCTTCACAATAGACACTCGATAGACATTTGCGTATTCAGGGGTCTGTTTAGAAGAAATTTGGGTCCGTTAACAATCTTCACAAAATATCTTTTCATAAAAACGGACCCTTCACAAAATATTTTAACTTAAAAACGGACCCTTCACAAAATGATTTTTCTTTTAATCGGACCCTTCACAAATTTGTTTATCTTCATTATTGTTTTTTTAATCGAATAAGCCCTTTCCGGGGGAGGGGGTGAGAGAAAGACGGTTCGAGACAAACTAAGTTTCCCTAAGTTTAAATTCCAAATGTAGTATTCTAAGAAAATATTTCTACTTTTACAAACATCGTGTGCGCATTCTTATTAATATTAAATCATATTTTTTTTTGTAAATAAATAATTGATCAATTTATATTTATTCATAAAATTAATTAATAGAATATTATGTAAATAAAAATTAATTTCTGGCAATTTTTTAAATAAAATATTATAAATTTAAGAATTGTTTAAGTTTACTTAATGCGTAACACATTAAAAGTGATACATTACTAAGTTGTGTTATTTAAAATATGTCAATTGAAATTATTAAAAATGTGAGTGATTTTGTTTCCATTATTCGTCTGAAATGAATATTCTGTGTTGAGCAGTATAGGCTAAATACCAAATATTTGTATGTTGCATCTCTAATTTAGTAGCAGCAATTGCTGAGCAGAATCTTGTATCTATTTACAATTTAAAAACTTCTTAAAAAGGTTTTTCGAAATTTTTGCAATAACAGGACCCTTTTTGCACAATTTCACAAAAATGGGACCCTGGTTGAAAGAATGTGACTCAACGCTTATTTTATATTCATAAATTATGAATAGTTTTTTCACAATTTTACAAAAACAAAACCTTTTACAAAATGTCTGGACAGATCCCTGCAAATATTTTGATATTGACCAAAGCAACTATTTGAATGTTGACATTCACAATAATACATGCATAGATAAAATTGAATAAATACCTGAGCTTGGAGAACGGCTCCGAGAGTGTAAGTTCCTCCACCTTGATAAGTAATAGTCGGTAATTGTTCCTCAAATAAAGCACACTTATGATTATTTACATCCGCCTCGCTCACGTGGTCAATATGTTTGACAACCCGATTTTTAGAACTGAAAGTGATCACTGACACCCGCGTGGCATTGTACTCCACTGTGAAATCAGCCAACAGTTTTTTCACAAATTTCAGTTCATTGAAGAAATTCTCGGCACCCACAGACGCCGAACTGTCAATAAGGAACACTAATTCCAGCTCCTTGTTTTGCGTCTTCCGCAAAGCCTCCACCTGTTTCTTTAGAACAGAGCCCAGGACATCAACTTTCGATTTCTCGATTTGGTTGGGAAGTTTGTCGCGAGAAGTCTTCGAGCTCACTTTGACTCCGCGGTTAAAGAAATCCTCGTAATTTTTGGGTCCCGATTTGTAGTCGATACCCTGGCAAATACAGGTGAGGCTGATGGCGAGGATGAGCCAGGAAGGGATGGATGAATTGGAGAGAAGCATCACCTCATCCTATGGGACGACATCCGAAGAAAAGAGAGATGCTCTTTTTCTTATTTACAAGTTCTCGTTTCATCCGAGGGACGAAAAAGAGTGAAATGAAAGAAGGAAAAGTCGCCGGCTCTCTTCCTAACTTCGTTTCCATCAAACAGAGGGCGCTGCTTTCACGTAATAAATAGGATGGGTTATTTTACTTTTCAATTGAGCCGTTTTCATATATATATATTTCCGAATAGTTTTCTGAATACGTTGATAGGGTTAGCGATGAAAAGTAAAATAGTTGACAGGCCCAATTTCCTCAAAATCTATCTCTTGTTCTCTCACTTAGTTTTTTAATTGTGCGGCTGAGTTTGGCCTCGAGTATAGTAATAGTAAATTGATGAGATAGGATTAATTACATGATGGAATTGATAATTTTAATGCTATTAACTGTAAAAAACGAGTTTTGCTTAAACTAATATCGTAAAGCCACCAGGAAAAGCAAAAAAAAATTGTGTAAGTATTTCTTTTTCAATTTTGTGCATGACTGGAACAAAATAAATTAGCGTCTTTTTATTTTTTACACCTATGAAGAATATCAGAAATTTCTTGATATTTCTTAAATTATTCAAACTATTTTCAATGATATAAAATTATTTACATGGATAAATTATTTTATATTATTTATATTAATTTGCAAATTTTTTTTCTCGTTTTTTAAAATTATTTTCCATAATGCTGTATTCCTTTTCTTAATATATTAATAATTAAATATTTAAATATTGGATATTAACAGTGATGATTTTATATTAGCTAACGTAACTTTATTTATTTATTTTTAACTGCATCTTTTCATACTTAGGAAAAAAAAGATATAAGCCTAAGACTATCTGAGTTGTTAAAATTATCAGCTAAAGTATCAGTTAAACTTTCAAAAATGTTTTTGCAAAATAATTTATAGACATCAGATTTTATCAATCAACTGGTGAGTATCATGTTGATTTTCTTTTCAACTTAATTGATGTTAAAAAGCATTTAAACAATAAGCATTTCAATGGAAATATTTTTTTCATTCTTTCTCCAAACACTGTTTCGGCTACTCAAGTGAAATTTAGTAGAAAATTAATATGTATATAAGCGTACATCGCGAACCTGAAACATAGCATGTTTTTGTAAAAAAAAAGAAAGAAAAAAACAGAACAATATAGATTGGGGCACATTTGAGAAAAAATTGTCTGATTTAGACACTAGCTTGTAAACCACCAAACATAAAAACATTTTTTATCCTCTAACAATCAGATATGATTTAAATATCACAGAATTTAATAAAAAAGTTACAAAATTCGATAATTTTGTTCACAGTGTACATATAAGTCACTTTTGTGTGAAAATAAAATAAAAACAGTTCAAGCATAATCCAGTTTTAAGTGCCAAAGCTATACTTAAGCCACAACAGCCCGTTGTGGGCCTGGGGGTTCATGGAGGTTAAGGCTCCACAATTTCATGCAAAACGGCATGATTGCAGTCGCTTAATCATGCCCATATATAAATAAAGGAAAAATATTTTTTAAAGAAGAAGAATTCAAACTCCCAAAAACAACAAATTTATTATCAAAATTCTTGTAAAATTTTAAAAAACCGGAAAACAAAATAAAAAAACAGATATTATCTTATCTTCAGCTCATACTATTGTATCCGCAAATTATGGTGTTTTCTATTATTGTATTAATATAGCTAAAGAAAAATATATTATAACAATAGTATAAGCTGATTTTTTTTTTGAAGAATTTTGATAATAAATTTGTTATTTTTGGTAGTTTTTCTTCTTCTTCCTGTAAAAAATGTTTTTCTTTTCTTTGTATTTTTATTGTATTATACGGATTCCACGTGTTTGCAGTTTATGTGTAGTGAATTAAACTTATCGATTTTCTTTGTTAATTTCCCTTTTCTCTTATTACAAATATTTCGAACATTCACCAGACTAAATGAAAGTTGACATTAACAGGAGAAATTAGTCATTTTTTATTTTGAAGGTAACAGTGAGAAAAAATTATATTTAACAAATCAGGGGTCTGTTATGAAAAAATTTGATTGACCCTTCTTAATATATCCTTTCATGAAACCTTAACAAAATAATTTATCTTTTAATCGGACCCTTCACAAATTTGTTTATCTTCATTATTGTTTTGTTAATCGAGTAAACTCTTCCCGGGGAAAAAAAAAAGAAAGACGGTTCGAAACGAACTAAGTTTTCCCAGTTTTCTAAGTTTAAATTCCTAATGTAGTAATCTAAGAAAATATTTCTACTTTTACAAACATCGTGGCCGCATTCTTATTAATATTAAATCGCGTTTTATTTTTTTGTAACTAAATAAAAATTCATTTCTGGCAATTTTCAAAATAAAATATTATAAATTTAAGAATTGTTTAAGTTTACTTAATGCGTAACACCTTAAAAGAGACTTTGTTTCCATGGTTTGTCTGAAATGAATATTCTGTGTTGAGCAGTATAGGCTAAATACCAAATATTTGTATGTTGCATCTCTAATTTAGTAGCAGCAATTGCTGAGCAGAATCTTGTATCTATTTACAATTTAAAAACTTCTTAAAAAGGTTTTTCGAAATTTTTGCAATAACAGGACCCTTTTTGCACAATTTCACAAAAATGGGACCCTGGTTGAAAGAATGTGACTCAACGCTTATTTTATATTCATAAATTATGAATAGTTTTTTCACAATTTTACAAAAACAAAACCTTTTACAAAATGTCTGGACAGATCCCTGCAAATATTTTGATATTGACCAAAGCAACTATTTGAATGTTGACATTCACAATAATACATGCATAGATAAAATTGAATAAATACCTGAGCTTGGAGAACGGCTCCGAGAGTGTAAGTTCCTCCACCTTGATAAGTAATAGTCGGTAATTGTTCCTCAAATAAAGCACACTTATGATTATTTACATCCGCCTCGCTCACGTGGTCAATATGTTTGACAACCCGATTTTTAGAACTGAAAGTGATCACTGACACCCGCGTGGCATTGTACTCCACTGTGAAATCAGCCAACAGTTTTTTCACAAATTTCAGTTCATTGAAGAAATTCTCGGCACCCACAGACGCCGAACTGTCAATAAGGAACACTAATTCCAGCTCCTTGTTTTGCGTCTTCCGCAAAGCCTCCACCTGTTTCTTTAGAACAGAGCCCAGGACATCAACTTTCGATTTCTCGATTTGGTTGGGAAGTTTGTCGCGAGAAGTCTTCGAGCTCACTTTGACTCCGCGGTTAAAGAAATCCTCGTAATTTTTGGGTCCCGATTTGTAGTCGATACCCTGGCAAATACAGGTGAGGCTGATGGCGAGGATGAGCCAGGAAGGGATGGATGAATTGGAGAGAAGCATCACCTCATCCTATGGGACGACATCCGAAGAAAAGAGAGATGCTCTTTTTCTTATTTACAAGTTCTCGTTTCATCCGAGGGACGAAAAAGAGTGAAATGAAAGAAGGAAAAGTCGCCGGCTCTCTTCCTAACTTCGTTTCCATCAAACAGAGGGCGCTGCTTTCACGTAATAAATAGGATGGGTTATTTTACTTTTCAATTGAGCCGTTTTCTTACCTGCATTTACTTTTGAGATAAAAAAAAATTACTTTTTTTGGAGAAAAAAAATGTAGGACTCTATTTGAGTGAAGACAAAGCAAAAAAATTTTATAAGCTCTAATATTAAATATTTGTTTACTTATTTTCAATACTATGAAAACTGTTAATTAACTAAATTTATTAAAATTTATCCCGAACGTTTAAAAATTTTTTTTATTGTAATCTGACTTTCGAAACTATGTCTTTTTAAGAGGAAAAAAAAAGCAATTCAAGTCATTTCAAGCTTGTTTCTTTATTTTTATTTATTGATTTATTATTATTATTTTTTACATAATCTGGAATTCCTATTTACTATAATCAACACTTAAAAGAGGAAAACTAATCGTAAATGTAAGTTTAAACTTATGGGGTTAGTTGTTTATCTTTCTGGTTAGCAACAACTTCAGTTTTAGTTAATTTACATTAATTCAGTTTAATTGCTGTAAATTTTCAGTTTTAAAAATTAATCGGATTTAATGGGGGAACAGCCAGTAAGGGAACCGCATTATAGTTAAGAAAGAAACATTGCTATGTAATCAAAATAACGAACGGCAAAAACGAAACCGTCTAATGCTTATTTTTCATATGATCCCATAAAAATCAAATTTCATTCGGTAAACTGAGGATAATTCCAAAGATATATATTTCTCGCCTAAAATTATGAAGTCGCTGCGAACCTAGGGACAACGGTGTCCCTTTTATGCAAAATTTTTTTAAAGCTATAATTTTATGCAAAAACATATTTGACTATATATATTAACTATATATATTAACTATATAATTAAAATATATTTAACTGTCTACTATAAATAACAGCCTAATAGTTACTAAAAAATACCTGTTAGATTATCGGAATTATATTACTGCTAAAATATTAAATAAAAACAAAAGTAGTTTGAAAATAGTTTTTTTGTTCATATTTAAAAAATTATCAATAATTAATTTTGTTAATTAAGTATATTTTAATGGTGAATAACTGTTTCTCTTAGATCTAAATAACTGCGAATTTGAAAGATTATTGTTTGGAAGAAAGTCGTATTTGGAAGATTTCACCGAAAGACACTGGTGTTTTATGCTGTATTTCATAATCATCAATTATTAAAATGCTAAATACAATATTTTCAACTTCTTTTACCTAAATTAATACAAAATAATTAAAAAAAGCATGAAATTTTCCTTAAATAAAGATTCTGCGTCAAATGGTTATCAACATGGATTTAATCCGATTTGTATTAATAGCTCCCCATAAAAGGATTATCTCAACGTCTTTCAAAATTTTCAATGCAACATTTTACCCCTGAACCCTTATTGAATGTGACTCACTGATTTGCCACGAATAATGTTTTTAAAATCGATTCAGGATTAGAAGTTCAAGGCTGATTGTGACACAAAAATTCTGACATAAAACAAAAGAAGTTATTAACATAAATAATAATAAATAAAAAAACTTCCGTATTTAAATCAGATTACTTATAACAAGCGTAAC